ACAGTCCCGAGCAGCACCGCCGGGTAGGCCAAGAGCTGCGAGCCGTACTCCACGACATGGCTTTGCGGATCCAAGATGCAGGAGAACTCGATGTCCAAACTGAAGATGGCCAGCGAGGACAAAACGGCCTTCGCGGGGTCGATCCAGGAGATCTCGAACTGATAGATGGCCTCACACAGTGCCGGGCACGAAACTATACACAAGTGGATCTAGAATCTAGAAGCTCTTCTGAAATCAGGCCTCGAGGGACTGCAAGCACACCACCAGCTGCCCGAAGATCACACAGACGATAAAGATGCTGACGGCCACCCGCCGCGCTCGGCTCATGAGAATGCTGGCTGCGACTAGCAGCGGCAGCAGCCCCAGCATCACAATCGGAAGCAGGAGGAAGGGCCACAGAGACAAAGCATCGCAGGGCCGGCAGGAGCCGTCCACATCGGAGGCATAGCCACGAAAGCAATCGGCACAGGCGCGCCCGGTGCGCCCAACGTTACAGTGTCCAGGCTCACCGGCTGGACATCGCGAGGTTTCGCGGCAAGAAAACACCGAATAGGAACTGAGGCCCTCGACGTAAGACTGCTCCACCCAGAATCCCGGCAGCTGCATCGGGAAGGCGCTGCCCCCAGGACAATCCATGCCCTCCGGGCAAGACAAGCACTCCGTGCTATTCCACAAATACCTTCAGGCGACAGATGCGGCCGAAGGAGGACAGCATTTAGTGGTCCCCTAAACGCTAAACCCTAAATGACAAAAGAGCCGCCACATCACTCAATCCGGCCTGCCAGTTTTGCAAGTGCAGTCGCCTTGACTGGTTGCAGCCAAGACTGTCGTGGTCTTGCCTCTCTCACAGCTCCGGCATGTTGTGGCGCCGAACTCCGGCTGATACTGGCCTGCGGATGGTGCAAGCTCCGAATGCCTCTCTCATGGGACTGTGACTCTGGGGCACAAAACGGGGACCCTCCGGGTCCTTGCGGGCACTTCTGACAATTAGTCGCTTCCTCCTGGTCCGCTTTGCGGCCAGGCTCGCAGGCGTCGCAGCTCACGGACCCGGGCTCCTTCTGGCCTCAGGTCCCCAAGCGCCTTCTTTTTAGGCTGCACACCAAAACCCATACACAAAAAGGGGCCTTGTAGAATGAGAATAGGGCTTGGGGGTATGCTAAGGAACCCCCCCCCAAAAAAAAACCCTAAGCTCGGGTCAAGCGGCTGGTGCCCCGGCGGCAAGGACCTCAGACACTGCTTCGACCCTACCTGGACCTTAGGGTTTAAGGCAGTTTAGGGTTTAGGGTCCTCCGTTCTGCGCCGAGGCGCGGCACACCGCCGTGGCGCCAAGGTTGTCCTCTAGGAGCACAGAGTAGCGCCCAGCTGGGCACGAGCTACAGGTCACAGTCGCATTAAGTGACCGCTCCGTCAGCCAGACACCATCCTCGGACAAGGTGGGTTGGCAAAGGCTCTTCTTCAGGACTGCGAGCAATTGCTTAGGGCAGGGCACTTGCTGCAGAATTTTACTTGCATACCGTGGATAGGGTATGGGTTTTCCCGTCCCAGTCCTAAAAAGGTTCTAGGCCCACTTATCGCCATCAGATATTCGATGGATTCAGTCAGGGTTTAGGGTTTAGGGCTAAACCCTAAACCCCAAATACCCTAAACCCCTAAACCCCTAAACCCCTAAGCCCTACACCCTAAACCCCTATTCCCCTAAACCCCTAAACCCTACACCCCAAGAGCCTCTAGCACAAAAACAAAAGAAACACCCTAAACCCTCTGAACCCTTCAAGACCCTTGAGCCCCCTAAAAACCAAAGGCCTGCACCCCAGCAGCCGAAACTCGAGCTTCATGTTCGAATTCCGATTAGGGTTTATGGTTTATGGTTAAGGGTTTAGGGTTTAGGGGAAATCCGCTACTGGGGAGGCCTTTTGCCACAGTACGACAATGGGGCACCCTATCTCCAACCAAACCCTAAACCCTAAATCCTAAACCCTAAACCCCACCCCCCCCCCCCCCAGCCGGCCTCCTGCATCCCCTGCCCAGCGTAGCACTTGGACTTGAGAGAGATCCACGCCGCCCAAACTTCCCTGCAGAGTCTTTGGGACTCATCGGGTTTAGGGTTTAGGGGGTTTAGGGTTTAGGGTTTAGGTTTAGGGGGTTTAGGGCTTAGGGGGTTTAGGGTTTAGGGTTTAGGTTTAGGGGGTTTAGGGCTTAGGGGGT